AGTTATCGTTCCTTGTATCTTACGTCTGATAAGGGTAAAAGAGGAGGGAATAAAGGTTTTTCCAGAGAACTACGGTTATCTAAATTACAAAGCTTTAAATAGAACTGGTATGAGAAGCTGCCTTGCAAAGGGAAAGCTCAACATGGTTACGGGAAAGACTAGAAATAGAAACTAACGTGAAAATCCCAGCTCATAATCAATTATGTCATAACGCCGTCATACGCAGAGTATGCCGATCCTTTATTAAGTACTTTCAGAAAGTCCAACATTCACTCATTCTTGTTATTTAAAAAAAAAAAAAAAGAAAGAAAAAAAAAGACTGAGTGCTAATTATAGAGAAAGAAAGAGAGAGGAAGGGACAGAAAGAGACATGACCCAGAAGCTAGTAAACAGTATCATCTTATTAAGGCTGCCACGGTTACATCAAACATGAACTAACCTGGAGAACCATACTCGTGTCTTGGTAACCTACAGATTTTAGGCATCACTTCCATTAGGGTCTTGACGTACTGAAGAATCGTCCCTTGTAACTAAGAGAAAACAGGTGTTTATTAAAAGTGTTACTGATCTAAGAAACTTTACAACAAATTGTATTCAAACTACAGATGAACTGAACAAGCACTAAAAACCTTGCATGTAACTATCAAACACCATCCTTAAAAGGGAAACTTTGAAAAAGGTGAAGAAGGAATACAGTTGCATTTTCCTTCATATGGCATTAGCTTCTTTTTGCTACAGGAAAAGTGGCACAACAGCTAAGGCCAGGAGGAAAAAAAGTAGTACGAGAAGTCATGCACTTTTCTTGCAGAAGAGATAGTACACCTCTATTGTCTAACCAACCTTTAACTTTGTTTTTGTAAAGAAAGCTGCATTTGAGTGTTTTCAAAAGCAAGAGGACAAAAATACTCAGCATTACATGTATACCAGATAAAACTGTCTATTCCAGATAGACCACGCAGGACGCAGCCCCAGGCTACAGTCCCAGTCTACCTTCCTCCCACTAGACGTCCATCTCACACCTCTCTCCCCACATCTAAGCATTTACATCAGGTGCCAGCCAGATAACTTCCTGCAGGCATTTCAATTTCCCTTATAAATGCCCAAGTATGCCAAAGTACCTTTAATGAATCAAGCTGATTTGTCAAACCGCTCCTAAAACCCAACCAAACAATCCACCCCCCTGCCAGAATTCGCTGAAAGTCTCTGTGTTCGCATCTTTCCCTGGAGATTATATCACAGGGTCCCTTTAAGCGGGCCTCACTCTTTTGAGCATTGTGCGAATTACAACAAAACACCTGCCAAATATGTCAAGTGGCTAAAGTGAGACTATTAATACTACAGCTATACAATTGGATTATTTTGGCCACGTTTTCCTTACAGGGAACAATGGTAGGGAGAAGACCATTTCTGTAGCTTAAACTGAATTATTAAACTTAACTGCAATGCATTAAGACTGCATACACCGATACTGATAATACAGTGAACAGTCCCTCAACCTCCTCCTGAAAGCTCCTCCTCCTCCAAAAGCCCATTTCTAATGCTAGATACGCAGGCTATCTGGATAACTTCTTCACCATTTGGTCTGAGCACTCTTCCAAATAAGCTTGACGATATCCACTGCTAGATCAAGCACAGAGATTAAACCTTCCTTGTTAGTAAGGGTTATCTGTCAATGACAGCATTAATGAAAGCCCTGAAGTTTGAGAAGGCAGAAAACATACTCCAGCCGTTCTCAGAAAAATGCAGAGAAAGTAAATTAACAGTACAGTTTTTAAGTAGAAGTGAACTCATTTTAAACATTTATACTTTTCCAGAGAAGTTTATCGAGGACCTACCAGCATAGTTCTCCACAGATTCAATTAAGCTCAAAAACAGAAACTGAGATTTTCAAAACACTGCACAGATTACCAAGGCACATGTTCTACTGCTTTCAGAAGATATTGGGTGCTCTCAGACGTAGCTTATACTGAACTTAACGGAAGTGATGTCTTAATTAGTATTATCTGAGGCCTTACTTTCCTTAGAAATCTTAATTTCACTTTTTTTTTTTTTTAAAAAACTTTTCGTAAGACATTTCCTATCAAAAGCCACATGAAAAAGCAGAAAATGAAATACAGTCAACGTACCAGGCTCTTAACAACTTTCAGCAACTCCTCCATCACTACAGCAATACCCTGATACCCAAGAAGCCTACAGATGACTTTAAAGTGAGGGGGGCCAACAAAATTCCTGTAGTTGCTGTAGATGCTGGAATATGCCAGATTCAAAGCCTAAAAAGGAGAGAAACAGATCTGATTAACGAAAGTTTCATCCGAGTGCATCGTTATAGCAACCTCAAACAAACAGCACTTTTAAATATGTTAAAAAATGAACAACCACCTTATATTTTGCTGTCGTAAGAAGTCAAAATACATAGTTTCCCCTCTTTAAGAATGAAACTCCAACAAAAATCTCTGTTTTGGCAAGAACAGTTTGTAAACCATTTTTGTTCATCAGGCACTATTTATATTTCATCAGGCTATATTTCACTTACTATTTGTAAAGCCATGAACGTTTCCTCTATTTCACATTCTTCTGTTTACACAAGTAGAACAGGATAAAAGCAGTCCCATGCCAAGGTTTAGACTTCTAAATTTACAACACAGCTTCTATCCATGTACAGTCCCCTTTATGTACCAAACATCTTGAAAGAAATGACTTCACTTTTCATTTCATGATAGCCATTTCGATGCTCTGAAGTCTCAATTAAATAAAAAAAGCCTTCTGCAGTTACTGCTCTCATAAGGATCTCGCTTGTTCAAACCCCTTAGCTGTCCATGCGATCAAAGCAAACTTGAGTCTGAGAGGCAACCTCACGGAAGTGATTCTGGAGCTGTATATATAGGCTCAGGTGCAGGGCCACATTACTGAGTATTTCTTCAAAGTGAATAAAACTGTACAGACTGATGCCACATAGGGATTTAGAAACCGTGTGCTGAAGCTGGGGGGATTAAAAGGGAGTTTGCTAACTTAATACCCACCATTTGCATAAGTGGGCTGTTCTCCAAAAATCCTGAATTTTAATTTTAAAAGGGAATCTTGTCAACCTTTGTTGTAGAAGGTTCTGCTACATTCCCTTTTTCTTTTCTACAGTTTCCATTATCTTTAATACAAGTACACAAGCCTGTGAGACCTTCAACTCAGACATCAGCTGTGACGCACAAAACTTTCCCTCATCAGTATCCAAGGAGAAGAACACTGATTTTATCTCCAGCATAGATCCTACCACAGTTATCCCTGCAAGTCAATACTAGATATCTGTAATATACGCCACATGGCACTGCACAAAGAAACTACTAGGAATTTAAATCATGAAATTCTACTAAGCTCTTAGAGTATTTTTGTCTTATAAAAGAAAAGGACTTATATAACGTGTGCTTGAGGCAAAGAATGGCAACCATATCCTGGGTTGCATTAGGCAGAGCGTTGCCAGCAGGGCGAGGTTGGCGATCCTTCCCCTCTACTCAGACCTGGTGAGGCCGCACCTGGAGTACTGTGCCCAGTTCTGGGCTCCTCAATACAAGACAGACATGGAGCTCGTGGAGCAAGCCCAGTGAAAGGCCACAAAGACGATTAAGGGACTGGAGCGTCTCTCCTATGAGGAAAGGCTAAGAGATGCGACTCTTCAGCCTGGAGAAAAGAAGGCTCAGGGGCATCTCATCAGCGCATACAAATATCTGAAGGGAGGCTGTCAAGAGGATGGAGCCAGACTCTTCTCAGTGGTGCCCAGCGACAGGACAAGAGGCAATGGGCATGAACTAAAACACAGAAAATTCTGCTTGAACATAAGGAAAAAATCTCTTTACTGTGAGGGTGACCGAGCACTGGAACAGGTTTGCCCAGAGAAGTTGTGGAGTCTCCATCCTTGGAGATGTTCAAAAGCTGTCCAGACACGGTCCTGGGCAACCTGCCCTAGTTAACCCTGCTCTGAGCAGGAGGGTTGGACTAGATGATCTCCGGAGGCACCTTCCTGCCTCAACCTTTCTGTTACTCGGTGAAAGTCTGTTCTAAGGACATTGTGTTTGCGTTGATTTTGCGGAGGAGCGTTGTTTTGAAATTCTCAGCCATCTTTTCTGTGAACGCAAACTAAAATAGATGTTTGACTAATGATGAGAATCCATACGTGACGCTACAGCCTTGCTATTAGATCAGAGCTGGCTAAATGGCTGAATTCCAAACAAGTATCATCTGGCTCACTGCCTAAAGCTGCAGTCCCTCGAGTACAACGTATGTATTTGTATAGCCTTCTGCTTACAGAAAGGGATCTGGGATATTAAATGGAAAGAGAACTGGAAAAAAATCTTATTAAAACATGTGCAGATGAATGCCCTGATATACTGAGCATTTTATAAAGTTACCCCTAAGAGGCGAGATTTCATCTTTTGCTTTTGTTGCTTCCAAACAGGTAGCTCTAAACAACAAATGCATCCAAACTATCTATGTCTGCTACAGAACGTTACAGTGTAAAGAGCATTTTACTTCAATTAATTAAAGAAATTTACTGCCATGAGTTCTTCTCACCCTGACATAGCGTAGGTTAAGAGCAGGGAACACCCCTTCACGGAGCAGAAATCTGTCACAGAAAAGCAAGCCCTGAAACCATTATTTCAGTATAAAAAGCTCACCATACATAACAATAAGAAGTTGATCAATCTAAAAATATATCTTTAGTTAAAGTAACATTCATGGGGAAGTATCTAAAATGGTCTACCTGCAAATGCTGGATTAGCAGAGCTTTATGAACTGTGACAAGGGATTTAAAAAACACCACCACGCACCATCACTGCCTCCCTCCACGACACACAGAAACATAAAACTCTCAGGGAAGAGGCCACTAACAAAGATGGAGGGGAGCGAGGGAAGGAAAAAAGAGAGGGAGCTGGTTATTTTTTAAGCTATGCTTGCTCCCTCCCCTACTTGAAAAAAAAGAAAAGAAAAGAAGAAGTTGCTAGTTGCTGATGTCACCAAAGTGCTCACATTAATCACTCACAGCATCACTGGTACACACACAGAAGAGCATATAACAGGGATGTTGAAGCCGTACACTGTTCAACAGGAGATAAGTGAGAGACGAGGAAAAAGACATTATTTTCTCCCGTATTTTCCCTGAAAATCAAGGCAACAGCATCTCTAGACAACGTGCGCTCTTGTAGGAATTTAAGTAGAAGAGACAAAGAACCCATGCCATCCGCAGCCTCGGAGAACAAAAACTGAACGAACCAAGCAATGAGAATTCAGTCGAGGGAATCTGACAGGGGGAAAAAAAAAAAAAAACCACGAGCAAACTGGCAAACAGAGACCATGAAGGAAACACCTAATTTAAAAGGGGATAGAAAACCTGGCGTTTATTTCATTTTCACGACTTCATCATATGAAAATTCTGTTCTGAAATTTGTATCAGGAAATGAAGGTGAGTACTGACTTTATGATCTATAAAATACCAAATGTGTTTCCTAAACATTAACATGCCAATAACTACGTATCTTCTAGTGATTAATGTTTCATAATAAACAAAACCAGTATTATTGTTATTAGAGTTAGGGAGTGTCTGGATTTTAAATTACTTACAAAATGCTCTGAAGATTATTGTTTTTAAACAGTATCAGGAAACGTTCTATAGAAAAAATGTATATATGTAAGTTTAAGTAATCAGGATCTCTCAGATAAGAAAAGACAGACAAACAAGCTCTGGTCTACCGGTCTACTAAAATGGCCCACTTTTAACATCTACAGAAGTTGGGTAGATGTCAAAACGTGTCTGTCTAACAAGTTTATCTGACAGCACACTCAATGCCTTTGTATTGCTGCTGCATCAAGAAGGGTGCACTCACCACAGGATTAAATAGGCTGCCTCTACCCAGATCGCTCATATCTAAGGTTTTATACTGCAATGAATATGCACATACATCTTTTTCTCCCCACTTCCCAATAAGTATAATCCAAAAGCCATAAACAACACTTTCACATATATTGTATTAATAATAAGAATTCTGTGACTTTATAACTATCAAGACCCCACGCAAATAATACAGATTTTGCCAGTCTTCTTTCTAGTATGAAGTACATTAAAAATATTACAGAATAATTTCAGAATAAGTTATGAGCAAATGCTATGAGCTTTATCGGAACATTTTTCTATGTTCAGCTGCTATTTAAGCCAGGAGACTTAATATCTTAACACTGATCATAAAAAAAAAAAAATTATAATGAGGTCATAAACAATGAAATACTGTTGCGGGCATTTACGTTCATTAAAAAAAAGTAAGGAATTTTCACAATGGAAAAAACTTTCATGTGAATACCACTGGAAACTGAGAATTAAACCAAAAGAAAATCAAATTAAATTGCTTATGCACTTTTGAAAAAGTTGCACTTGCAGCAGAAGCAAAAGAAAATTCAACCCACCAAAAAATCTACTGGTTCTTATTACGATTTGTTTTGTTATCAAACAACATTTTTAATCAAAAGTCTACCAAGGTAGAAGCTAACCTTTTGTCCTGTAAGGAAGATAATCTTTAATATAAGTTTTTACAGAATTGCAGAAAATAGATGTTTTCCTTGCACTATTTACAGCGGTAACACAAACTGATAAACTCAAAATACTAATACTAAAGTCCTAATGTTAAATTTATTATAAGGAGTATTAGACTAGCGCCCGAATTCAGGACAGCCAGACTTTGGAATTACATAAAATCCCTCAGGATAGAAAAGAGTATTAAAGCAGTCATTAAAAAAAAATTAAAAAAAACCCCACTATTTACCCAAAAGGTATGGAATCATGAACCAGCTAACACTACCTTCAGAAAGCTTTTCAAAGAGGCTGACTAACGTCAAGACGAATCTTGGCCAGCTTCCAGTGCCAACAACGTACACTCATCACAGCTACTGCTTTAGTGGTGGATACAGATGTGCTTATCTTATCAGCAAAAAACAGAGAAAATCAGAGCATAAAACACTAACGTAAAGGATACTGGAGATAAAATAGTAACTGGCGATGTTTTCATATACTACTTTGTTTTTTAATCAACTGGTCAAAAATCAACACTTTATCAAGAATTTATCCCTCAATATTGCACTCCTGCTGCCCCTCACTTGCCATTTAACAAAAGCAAATTCATTGCTCACAAAAGCAAGCTTTGAGATTATGGAGATTACCATACAAGTAAAATAAAATGCTAAGAATACTTAGACTTAAGACTGAATTAAAACTCGGACCTAAACCCAGAGAAAATACAGGCTGTGTTTCTTTCGAAAAAAGGAAATAAACACTTTTCAACATACTCATTAGGATGTATTCCTTATGACAGATAAAGAGTTAATTAGTGGGATGGTTAGTCAGTCTGTCTGTCTGTAATTTAAAGCCAAATCAGATAGTGTTTCAATTCAGTTTGGAATTCTATGTCACTTTTGCATGAGAGTTTGGCTCAAAATTATGCTAAATACTCAGTTTTCCTATTAGAAATGTTTATTCTATTAAACAACATTCCTACATTGCTCCAAAGAAGAGAGATATTTATTAATGCATCTCTTCAAGCTTCTGATCATTTGTTTTTCCCTGTTGGTTTAGGGTTACATCTTTCAGAAATACAAAGGATATTTATCTCTCGCTTTTATAACCTTGAAGATTTTTTGTTTCACTTAATGTTATCTAAGTGCAAATTCGTTAAGAGAAAAATAGCCAGCGACTTTATTCTAGGGATTGTACCAAATACGTACGCAGCACGTATACCAAAGATGACAAAGAGGCTAATTTGGGAAGGGCTGCAGGGGGCCAGCACAGCTCCACTCCCCGTCCCGAGGGCACGGCAATCCGAGACGGATCTCTGAAAGCAGGTGGCTCCCCAATACCAAACTCTGCAAAATGCCCTGTCTCTCTTGGAGACGAGATACAAGTGATCACCTTCAGAGGCAGGCAGCGCCTGTTGAGTTTCTATAAATACGAATTTAACTTGGGAAATAAATATACAATTGAGTACGCCCCACGCTTCACTGAACTGCCAAGTCCTACTTTTTCAGGGCAAGACCACACATAAGAGCACTGTTTCCTAATAACTCCTTCTCTAAATTACAGAACGCTACTGATAAAGATCCACACCACATCCCCAGTGCCGAAACTTCTTAAGTGAAGCAGCAATCTCCCTTTCCCCAAGGGATCACTACCTAAGGGGGAAAGAAAAACTACCTAAGCAACATCACGATGGGAATAACCATCCAAAACATCACAGGAAACACAGCAATGGTAATTTGGCCAAAAATGGCGAGTTGTGCCGACAGCTTTTACAGCGTCATGTACCACCCCAACTGGAACAGCATGCTATCGAGTTACTCGAGAAAGAACTTTCAGAAAGAAGAGAGAGTGCCCGCAAGCCGGTCTTCATTTGTCGTCGAAAACCTAACTCCACTAACGACATATATTCTGTGCGTGACCTGCCAGTCCGCAAACCCCTCCAGTGACCAGTGCAGAACTTTTCATACGCTGGAACAAGACCCAGCATCTGCAAGCAACACAAAGAAAGAGCTAGCGCTGGGCATCTGGCTCACCAGTAGCGTTCTGCTCCTCATCATTGCTGGGATCCTCCTCTATGGCTGCCTGCACCTGCTGTGCCGTAAGAGACGGGAGCAGCCGCAAGGACAAAACAGGACCTCAGAAGACGACAACGGGAGGACGCAGACCAAAAGCACGGCACAGACCTCCGAGGAGTTTGGCAGGCAAAGCCGACTAATGCAAGACACTGAGGGACAGAATCCAGGTGGCATCCAGCTGGCCACAATAATAGAGAATCCTCTAACTTGCAAGGAGCCCACCGTGCAGACTTCCAAAAGCCAGGAACTAGCGCCAATGACAGGACAGTATTCTGCTACGAATCAGAAACCTTTTACCAGGAAGCAGGTTTACTACACACAGCATCCAAACTACTTCAGACTCAGCGAGCGCTTTATCTCTTCTCAGCTCTTGCCAAGTAGTTCTGGTTGCTCCCTGCAGCACCCCCATCTTCTCCTTCAATCTTCACATCCCTTTCCAACAACCCACGTACAGCCAGCGTACTCGGATGTAAAGGTTTAGATTCCCAGGAAGTGAGTACTCCAGCTGCACTTTGTTACTGAAAAATGAACCATTTAGCAAGCAATCAGTTGCTATTTTGAGGGGATTTTTTGGTTGTTTTCTTCACTCTGAAACAGTGAATGAACATAAAAACAAATGAAAACTGTGACCAGGAGAATATTTTTACTAATACAAATTAAAACTGAACTGAAATTTTCAGATGAGAACCCAGATTGCTATTCTATAAGCAACTGAAACCTATCCTGAGTACAATGGTTTGCCAATATGAATTTTTTTCCCACAATTCTGCTTGCTTCTCAAACTATACAATTTTCTGACTATAGTGTTCTCGATAGTTCCCATTCTGAATTAGTTCAGTCACAGCACGTAAGCTAAACTCACCAGTATTTTAATGGCATACTTTTATCTGTTTTTGAACATCCCCTCAGCCTAAAAATATATTCAAGACAGTGACTCTCTAAGGACACGTCTAACTAAACTAAGGAAATAACTTGGATTACCTTGTCCTGCACTCTTTCACTTCCACCATGAGCCGGCTTCTGCACCACAGGGGAGCGACTCCCTATAGAAGATAGGGAGCCCAGGGAAGCAGCTCCTGATCCTTCTCTCTTCCCTTTCACTTGTAATGATAAAACTTGCTCATCAGCTGCAAATTTCCATCCAATTATAAAGGAAGTTTTGTATGATCGGGGCAAGGAAGTAGGAACACGTAAAAATACATTTTATTTTTGGAACAATCAAACTTGCTAATCGTCTAACTTTGCCCTAAACTTCTTGACAAAGTACTAAGAAAGGCCCTAAGACAGAAATCTGTTCACCCTCACAAAATGATGCATCTCGTCCAGTTTACACACAATAAGACACCCATTTTTAAATCTCTTAGGTGCATTTGTATTCCATAGAAATGTATTAAGCCTTAGCATTGCTGCATAATGTAGTCTTTCTAAAAACAAAGATACACTGTGAGTGCATGTATTTTAAACTGCTGTTAATAAAAACGTATGCCTAAAGTCAGCTCTTTTTGACCCTGCTCATTATACTAATGAAGGATGGAGAACTGCCAGTTAGGCAGCTGCTGTCAATTTTCATTGCATCCTGGAAACCAAAGTGGTGTACAGTTTTGGTAAGAGAGCACCCGCTAAAATATTTCACAACAGGCAACGGGTCTTTTCAGTTACTGCATTTTGGCAACATTTCCCACAATTCGTGACTGGCTTCAGCGCTCACATTGCTAAAAATACATGAGTAGGTGCAAGTTTGATGCGTTTTCGTTACCTTTTTTCTACTAGGACAGCTAAGTCGCACAGACCTGCGTGCCAACTGGAGTACGAGTAACACTTCAAAACGCATTTGATTGTATAAAGTTAACATTAACAGGTTCGCCAACCCCTACACAGCACTTCCTCCAGCTGACTTCTCGGTGGGCTTTTTTTCTTTTTTATATCCATCTTAAATAAACTGTAAAGATGAAAACAGATTATTGCTGTTTCGAATTCAGGTACTTCATGAAACAGACACCGAGAAATTCTCTTCAGAAGAGGATGCCAGCTCTACACATTCACTTCCAAAGTGGTAGGAAGAAGAGAAAGACAGAAAAAAATTGCTTTTAAATGATCTTGTAATCAAACCAACTGTAATACTTCTCTGACTAGAATTTCATAAATGAGAGAAAAGATGGTTTTAATGTTAAAGGTATAGAGCCAAGAGACTGATAAGTTCCCATCTCTGCCAACATCTCCGGTACCTGGAAAAGATTATTCATTTTTCTTCATTTCTTAATGTGGGTTTTAAGGCAGTTCAATCTATGTATTTATATGTTACACACACAAACATATCTACCACGATGAGAACCAAGGAGCAGTTTAAGGCAATTCAGCTACCTGATTTTTTTATTTTGGTACACACAAACACAGGCACGTACTGAAACACATCTGCACATACCATACTGCGCAGACAGGAAGCTCCTGCAGAAGTGTTCCCAGGGATGAGATTTAGCTCATCTAAATATAAAGCTGAATTCCACCCAAGGAATTTACTGTGCACTACTTAGATAAATATTTGTATTATTTCACAAACAATGACTGTCTTGAACCCACTGCAAGACAGCCCTATATAAAAGTACCATTTTGAGAGCTTACGTTTGTTTTGAAGAGCTCATGGCGATTACACGCACAGAACTACAAGACTCTTCTTCTCTTGCTCAGAAAGTTTTAATACAGATGGAATAAGGTTCAAAATCTAGATTACTGAATTGTATCATGCCTTTCAGTTAGCGTCCAATCTCAGGTTCATGTTGGCAATCCAATGTTTTGGCCAGTTCACCCTCCAGTTTTAACTGACTGAATAAAGGGCAAGCATTTTAAGTGACTACTAAGCTGTCGACAAGAGGCAACGTAGTGCAAACTGATGTTAATATGTGCACCAGCAATAGATAAAAATCATTATATTTACACTGAAAAATGGTCTTTTGACCTTTTTCCCCACAAAATGTAGTTAGCATCCAAAAATGCAGAAGACACCCAAAAATGAGAACGTTGGAAAACGTATAAGCTAGAAAGCAAGCTCTTAAATTGTTGATCTACAAAACCTCAATAAAAATCAGGTACCTTATTAACGCACAAAGTGACTTTCAAACCTCTAGAAGGAACTCTTTCTGATACATACATTATGAGGTATTTTATTCACCCAGTTCACGTTGCCTTCTCCTCTAACCAAATTTCAGTCTCCTAACGCTCATTTTATTCACCCTGCACACATTTCAACAGAGTAAAGCCCTTCCAATGACCATGCTCAGAGAGCTTTCAAAAAATTCCAGCCCACTTAAAAGGCTGACAAGTTCTTGCTGGCAGGCTCGTTCCTATCTGACATCTCTGCTCCAAAGTCAGCCAGGAGAAGTAAATTGCATCTGTGGCCTTCTGTTTCGCTAACAGGATAAAGATATTGCTTGCAAATTGTTAGATGTAGCAGAGAATATGGACACAACTGTCTATGCAAAACACGAATACAAACTAATACAGATCAAACGCTGTGATCCATTTAGAAATACCTGATATTATGTAAAGTTTCGGAGATCAAAACTAAGCATTTCTTTAATTACTCTTAAGTAAACACATTGCTTGTACAAAAATTCTGCATAGAAAGCGTTTAACCATTATAATCCAAAACAGGCGTGTATGAGCATACACATGCACAGGAAACCATAATGCCTTCGTCGTGACCTAAGCAAGCACAATGGATTGTTTAAAAAAAAAAAAAAACAACAACAACGACAAACATATTTCATGCATATATGATCAATAGCCAGTGCTTACCTGAATACTTTACATAGTTCAAGAACTTTTAAAAGCCAATAAAATAAAAAAATACATAGCTGCTCCAAAAGCCACTATTATCCAGTGGCGTGGCAATTCAACATGAGAACAGTTAAAGGACTCAAATAATATAGAGCGGATGTGCTCTGTGACAAGCCTGCGTATACAATGCACACAAAAATGATATCACATGCTGCAATTTCTAACCTCTGTCACATAAGAATTACAATTCATTATTTGTTATATACAGTAAAAATGTCCTCTTAAAATTCCATTCAGATATCCTCAATTACAAAACACACTAGACTGAAGTATAAAAATATACTCCTGTAAAATTTAAAAGTGCTAAAAATATCTGGTAATACAGAAATAGTTAGTTACAAAAGTTGCTCCAGAAATGCCTCTGAGAGCTGCTAGATTGTTGCTGTTCATAGCAATATAAAAATAGTCAGATCTCTGAAAACATACAGCTCACATAGTAAAGGTTATTAAATTTATTTTAATATTGTAACCTGACTGATGAAAAAAGGTTCCTCAGTTAATCCTTTCCCACTCACACTACTGTATCACCACTTAGATAAATTAAGTTAACAATCTTTACTAAATTCTGTGGGTTTCTTGCTCTTTACACTGCATCTGCTGAGTTCCTGAAATAGTAAAGGATATAATAACTCTAATGTAAAAGAGCTTTCCTATAATTTACTGTTCCCTAACGGTTAGAGGAGAATTATATAAAACTCTAATCACAGTACCAGAAATAATTTGTTGCCATCCACATGAAGAAATGTGAATCCTTCTCCACCTCCTTTACATTTTAAAAGCATGGAACTTCTACAATAGCAGCAGATGCATTAGGACTGAAATTTGTAACTGCTGAGCTATCTCTTCAGCTCCCCCAAACACTAGCTTGCTGGGTAAATCACTTCACAGAGCTTGCATTGTAAAACTAGGATATGATGTGCAGGAAAAAAAAAACCCAGTAGGATGAGAATTCACTATGCTATTATTCTTATTAAAACAGGAACTAGATAATGAAAGTAATGGCACGTGAAAATGACACAGCTCACTTGCACAAATTACAACTACAAATAGGTCCTGTAAATCATTTAAGCTGCTTTTCTGTCAACATTCCTCTAATTGCGCCATTAAATTTCTATTTAACTTTTCCATGCTTTCACTTTGCCTTTCTGACATTCAAGAAAGAAACAATGCAGAGTGAGTGATATTTCTTGAGATTTCCTGAGTGAGTGCGAGAGTGATATTTCTCGCTGAATACACTGAAATGATTTCCTCAAGATACCACTGCTGCTTTTTACTGTTTAATATTTCTGACTGGATATTAAAGACACATACTATACGTTAATGTACTATACCTTTAACTGCTGTTGTTAAGACTCATGCAATCATTCCTAAACTTAAGAAATAAATCTGTAATGATCAAGGAGAATAAATCTCTCTCTCCAACGTACAATACTGCACACCTGAACATAGCTTTGGTCCTGCAGATACAGGCTAATTTTCCTCAGCTGGGTAAGCCAATGAAAACCCAAGATTATTTTATTGTGCCAAGTTCTCTCACAACCTGTCACCAGTGTATATCACTTTCCAACTTCACTACCGGGTATTGCCTTAAGCCACAGAGTACACAACTACAAATCAGGAGAGCTGGATGCCATTGCTGGCTCTTACACGCACTTCTGCTGAAAATCTGCTTAAAGCCTGCAGGCATTCGTCATCTCAAAGCAACAAAGATGATGCTAACACAGCAGATGAGATGCCCAGGAGGCCAAGTTCATGAGGCCCACTTTGAGACCCTTGGGTTGAAGATGACCAAAAAAAAAAAAAAAAAAACCTATATTTTCTTTAAAATAATTTAAGAAGCTTAGTATATGACAGTTTAGGATGGTCAGAACCTGTATTTATTTTAAAGTTAGATTACATTTGAAGCAGTTTTTCCACTTACTCCCTTTTTTCCTGCTGCCACAATCTTCAGCACTGTAATGAAGGAGCAGCTGCTCCCATGATGGGCTCTCACCCTCACCCCACCAGCTGACTAATTCCATCCTTTGCCACTACAAGCAACTGTACAACGTAAGGTGGTTGAAAGAAGGATGTCTTCTGAGCGGTGTCAAGTAAGGCATAACATTTGACTAAGCATTTGCACTTTGGCTGAAACATATGGTAGCGTTCACAGTAAAGTCAGAAAAGAAAGCATATGTTGAATTTAAAATACTCTCCAAAAGTATTTAAGACCACCATTTGTAATAACTTTCATATCCCATAATCTCTACAGTTAAAAAGACACCTTAAAAGATGTGCAAGCCAATAAACATAAACGGAATAAACTCCAACCTTTGATCCATAGAGATACTGAGGCTGCGCATTAGGCTGCTTATCTCTCTGAAACTCCTGAGAAAAGGGTAGCACAGTTCGAACAAATCTATAAAAACAAAATAAAGAATTAATTAATTACACTTAGGTTATTAGGTGTGTACCTAATACATCTAACCAGGTATAATCGTGCTTTTGTCTACATATAAAATCAAAGCCAGACTGGCAGCCCTTCACAGAATGGTCACAGAATCACAGAACGGTTGAGGTTGGAAGGGACTTCTGGACATCATCCACCCAATCTGAGAAAGGGAAAGCACATAAGCCTGCACTGCCCAAAAACCTGAGCACAAATCAGAAACCAACTCTCCATCACTTATTGGCACACTGTTCTTCCCGGCTGCGTGCAGGCTCCAAAAATATTTCTCACTTCTAACCTAGACCAGCCCAGCAAAAGGAGAAACGACCAATAAAACAACAATAGTAGCCTGTCACGGAGAGTAAGGAAGTTCTTTGTGCTTCCAAACTTAAATCGTTAAGGATGAACTACACCTACAAAGAAGAAGAAAACATCTCTGTTAAATGCTATTTTTCAAAAAAGCTCTCAACAGGA